CAAGTAATTATTGAGAGACCCAGTAATGCAGGGAGGAATCAACATTTCCTTGTGGCAGGTATTGTTGTAAACGCTTGAACACATATTAACTTGGTAAGTTCTTATAACAATTCTATTAGATGGTTTATTCCCATTTTACGAATGAGAAAACAGACACAGGGAGCAGGTAAAACCTGTTGAGAAGCCGCAGAGCCAGGATGTGACCCCAGGCATTTAACTGTTGAACATACTCATTTTACCATGCTTGATAACAATATGGAGGATACTAGAAGTGACTAGAGATGATGAAGAGCTAGAAAGTTCCATAGTAGAATTAGTTGAATCTGATAATCACCTAGAGGAATATGTAGAGAGAGACACAAGGGAATGACTGTCAGACTTTTAGTTTGGCAGACTAGATCGATGGGGATACTAGAAATTAAGATTGAATATATAAGATGTGGTTATGTTTCCAAATTCATTAAGAGTAAAAACCTGCTTGACAGAGAGAAAATTCAAATATGTAGCTGAGGCATATGAGGTGTTACCAGTTGCTTAAAAACAGGACATGTATGACAAATAGGGCAAAGAAGGATTAAATGGTAGAAGAGAAGGTAGAAGTCATTTTGACAGCCAGTTTGAGTTTGGCTTCTCATTCTAGAACCAAGGTGGTGTCTTCAGAAAATTTTTTCAGCACAAGACTCTTTTTTTGTTGTTGTTGTTGGTCATGGGACCTGAACTCTGGGCCTGGACACTGTTCCTCAGCTCTGCAGCTCAAGGCTAGCGCTCTACCACTTGAGCCACAGCACCACTTCTGCTTTTTTCTGCTTATGTGGTGTTAAGGAATCGAACCCAGGGCCTCATGCATGCAAGGCAAGCACTCTACCACTGATCCACCTTCCCAGCCCAAGAGACTCATTTTATTCGACTTCTTTGAAGACCTAGCTGATGATTTGGGGGCAGGGTGGGGTGGGGACCAAAAGTGTTCTCCAGAAAGCAGAAACTGAGGTTCAGTCTTATTTTTTTCTGCCTTCAGTAGACTATCATTGTTTAGAAGTGGATTTCCTTTGTTTGATAAAGGATTTACTTCATTTGGGTTACTGGGTCATGAGAGGGGTGGTGCATTTCATTCTCTTGTGCCTCATTTGATATCAATGGCATCATAGATTTGAAGTGGGCATCTTTGTACTAACATAGTTAGCAGCAGGAAAATCACTACAAAGAGAATTGTAGAAGTTGCAAAAATGGCCAGTTGAAGTCCATAATAAATTATAAGGAGAAGCTGCTAAACTTGATAACTAATTCAACGCATGAATTTAACAAGAATGTTAAATAATAACAACCACCACTTGAGGATTATCAGGAATTTTTTTTGAAGATTACAAACAAACTTGACTTTCAGTATATTCTCTAACTAAAGTATTTATAAACAGTTCATCAGAGCCCTTATTTTTTACAGACTTGTGTATACACACGCACACATACACACGTGTGTATGGGCCAATAATGAAATTTGAGTTCAAGGACTGTGCCACTGTTCTTTAGATTCTTTGCTCAAGGCTGGCTCTCTGCCATTTGAACCACACCTCCATTTTTAGCTTTTTGTGGCTGAATTGGAGATAAGAATCTCATAGCCTTTTTTGCCCAGGCTGGCTTCAAACTGATCCTCAGATCTCAGCAATCTGAGTAGCTAGGATTATAGGCATGAACCACTGTGCCTTCTTGTTACAGACTTTTGAGTTTATTGTTGGGACCTCAAAATAGGACCATCTTTGTCTTTAAAATTGTTGTGATTGCTGTATGTAATTTACTTGAAAATTAAATGTAATTCAAGGTTTGATTTTTTTTTTAATTTCAAAAGCACCTGTTTGATTCCCAAGAGATATTCTGGACCAGAGCTCAAGACTCTGACTGTGAATAATTATAAAGGCTGGAGGTGTGTCTCAGTGGTAAAGCATTGCCTAGCCTGCATAACAGTCTAGGTTCTACCCTGTGCACAGTAATGATGATGATTGTGGTAGTGATTGTAATTATAGTTATTTGATAATATTTTATATGTCAAGAATTATTTAGAATGAATTTACATAAACAGGTGGACTCATCACATTGTCTTTCTGTGTGTGTGTGTGAGAGAGAGAGAGAGAGAGAAAGAGAGAGAGAGAGTGTGTGTGTGTATGTGTGTGCCAATACTGGGACTTGAACTCAGGGACTGGGAACTATCCCTTAGCTTTTTTACTCAAGGCTGGCATTTTACCACTTGAGCTACAGCTCCACTTCCTTCTTTTTGCTGGTTAATTGGAGATCAGAGTTTCATAAACTTCCCTGCCCAGTCTGGCTTTGAACCATGATCCTCAGCTTTCAACCTCCTGAGTAGCAGGATTACAGGCATGAGCCAACAGTGTCCAGCTACATTAATTATTTTAAAGCAATATTTTTTCTTCCCTTTTTGGAAGGTGAAGAAACAGATTTCTAAAGGGTTAAGTAGCTTTTTTCTTTTTTTGGGTGTTGGAGGTTGGGGTCCAGTCATGGGGCCTAAACGGTGTCCCTCAGCTCTTCAGCTCAAGGCTAGCACTCTACCACTTGAGCCACAGCGCCACTTCCAGCTTTTTTCTTCTTGCTTATGTGGTGCTGAGGAATCAAACCCAGGGCCTCAGGCATGCAAGGCAAGCACCCTACCACTGAGCCACCTTCCCAGCCCCAAGTAGTTCGTTGACTGCATTCTGCTTCCTCAACACTGCCTTGTCTTAATCTATAGGAATTGAAAAAGACCAGATAGGAAATGGCTGTTGTAATCTTTCCTGGCTAGAAAAATGAGGCCTAATTGAAAGCACTGTGAATCTGAAGGGGAACTAAATTCCCTCCACACTGTCCTATGGGTTTTTCTGGCAGTCACCAAGCTAGCCCGGCTAGTTTTTTGCTGCCTCCTTGTGGTCGATATGAATGTTACTTGATTTAACACTTTAAAAACAAACAAACAAACAAACAAGAATCACACTTTCTTTTCCCATGGAAATTTCCATTGGAAATTGCTTAGCTATGCTTTCTGGTATATTACATAGTTATCTGGTATCCTATGTAGTTAACTTGCATTTTATATAGCTAATTATATCACAGGTGTACTTCAAATATAACCTAATTTTCTTTTATTCTTTCCCAGGCTTTAATTCTTGCTGGTTCTGGGCCTTAAACTCAGGGCTTCCTGCTCTCTTGGCCTGTCTGCTTATGGTGGACCTCTCCCACTTGAGCCATGACTTAAGTTTTTTTTTTTTTTTGCTAGATTGGAGATGAAGTCTTGATAACATTTCTTCTGGGGCTGGCCTCTAACTGCAGTCATCTGGAGCTCAGCTTCCTGAATAGCTAGAATTACAGGCATGAGACACTGGGGCTGGACTGAGTTTCTGACTTTAAAAAGTCATATTTTCCTTCTCTTTTTCTGTCACTAGCCTCATACACCAGAAATTTATTGACTACCTATAGTGCAGCAGGTAGTGTTCTAGGTCATTGGAATACATTACTGGAAAAAACAAGGTATTATTAGAAATTGGGCTTTTCTAACTTCAACCCTCTTTTGTTCTAATTTGGTACTATACTTCTTTTATTACCCTATGCCCTAAGGGCTCTATAGAAGTGTTATGCCTCTGTGGAAGATAGTTTAAAATCCTTTCATTCTAAATAGGTAAGTTGAAGCTTAGAAGAAAAGGTCCTTGGCAAAAAAATGATCAAATGTGGTTCTTGGGCATGTAACTCCCAGATCAGTCCTCTCTGCTGTATTTTCATACTTTCCAAATGGTTGACTTGGAGCCCAAACTCATAGTAATGTGCCTCGGACAACTTCAGATACATATTAATTATACAGTAAATATTTGATGAGTGAATGGATGCATATGTGAAGTATTCTAATGTGAACTATTCTGTCATGTATTTTGAAGTAAAATTGGAGACATAGTATTTTAAAGTGTCAAAATTCTCTAAACTCTGATAGTGACTCAGATGTCTTCCTCGTATTTGCTATGGAAGTTTCCGTGTATATTATCACTTTTTAACTAGGAATGATTGCTTCATCTCTGTCCTTTTGTCTGTCTCCTTCTCCCTCTTATTCTCCCTCTCCCTCCCCTTCCCCCGGTGTGTGTGTGTGTGTGTGTATGTGTGTATGTGTGTGTTTGTGTATGTACATGCTAGTACTGGGGCTTGAATTCAAGACCTCACATTTTCACTTTTTTTTCATTCAATGTGGATTGGTGGTATTCTACCACTTAGACACATCTTCACTTCCAGGCTTTTGGTGGTTAATTGGAGATAAGACTCTTTTGAGGTTATCTGCTCAGGCTGGTTTCCAATTGGGATCCTCAGGGCTCAGCACCCTGAGTAGCTAGGGACTACAGATGTGAGCTACCAGTGGCAGTGATTTCTTCATTTCTTAACGTTAAAGAAATAAAATAATTGTTTTCAGATTAATCTTTTAAATTTCTTGGGTTCTATTATAATTTTGTATCCTTGCTGACTGTGCAATTGTATTTTGACTGCTGTGTGTGTGTGTGTGTGTGTGTGTGTGTGTGTGTGTGTGTGTTCTATTTTTTGTCAGTCCTGGGGCTTGAACTCTGGCCTGAGTGCTGTCCCTGAACTTTTGTGCTCAAAGGCTAGTGCTCTACCACTTGAGACAAAGCTCTGCTTCTGGGCTGTTTTTTTTTAGTTTAGAGGAGAGTCTCATGGACTTTCCTGCCTGGGCTGGCTTTGATCGCAGCCTCCTGAGTAGGTAAGATTATAGGCGTGAGCCACCAGAGCCTGGCTATGCTGATATTGTTATAGAGATAGGGCAAGTTGGATAAGCTGGAAGAAACTGATTTTCCTAAGTGCAGGGTTTGGGAAAGTAAGCAACTAATATTAATGGGTTATCAAAATAATTTTAGTGAGTAGAATAAATAAGAACATTTCAGAGACTGATCAGTAGCTTGTAAATTGTGATCAACTGTATGCATATATCTTGTTCTAAAAGTCATCTTTTTCTTCTATCTTTTTCAGATATGGATCAACTCATGAACAACTTGGGGGTCCAACTTAAGTCAGAAGGTGGCTCACTGCAGGTGTTCAAACAGGTCAGTTTTCAGGAAAATGGGGTAATAATATTGAGCTATCATAGTATTGAGTACCTGGTTATTATTGCAAAATTAGAGCTCAGTTTTCTTTCTATTGACATGTTTGGGCACTATGAAGGGAGAAAAGCAGGTAGGTATCCAGGAAGTATCTGATATCTGGATTTTACTTTTGCCTAGGAAGTGTTGTAGATCTAATTCAGAGAAACATAAACTTTGAGATCAAGGTTTTAGGTACACTATTAGACCTTTGGTAGATGATAGTAATCATTTGTAAAGCACTATCCCATATTCTGAGTACTGTGAAGATTACATGCATTGTCCAGTTTAATTTCCACAATAACTGTTGAGCAGTGTATTAGGATTCTCAAAGAAAACATCTTTTTGGCTCTGTGTGTGGGGGTGTGGTAGGGAGAGAAAAAGGGAGAGAAAGGGGGAGGGGAGAGAGCAAGAGAATGAAACTGGCTCATAGACTGAAAACACAGAAATGAGTTTCAAGTCCAAAGGCACAGAAATTTTTTTCTGTGCTAGGTGCTGGGGAACAGACCTGTAATCCCAGTTCTCAGGAGGTTGAGGCAGAAAGAACACGAGTTCCATGCCATCTTGTGCTTCATAACAATACCTTGTCTAAAAAAGATTTTTTTGCACTGAGGATATCAGTCTCATCTTTGTTTTAAGGCTAGCAGCTAATAGAATGTAGTCCATTCACCTCATGTGGGTTAATGTGCTTTACAAAAAGACCAGTAATTTCAACATTAATCTCACACAGAACAGAAACATCAGGAACAATATTTGACCAGATTATTATAGCACCGTAGCCCAGCTAAATTGTCAGATAAAATTAATCATCACTAGTCCCAGTGTTCTCATTTTACAGTAAAGAAAACTGGCCCCAAACTATTTGAATAGCATATCTAAACACATCTGGCATTCACAGTTAAAGACTCTGCCAGATATTGAAATCTCATCTTGCTCATGGTTTAGTTTTAAGTCATTGCATAAATGAGATCCAAATATAGTCAAAATTATCCTTTAAAAGCCCTATGATTTTTTTTGTGTGAGGCTTGAACTCAGAATCTGTTATTATCTTTCAAGATTAATTCTCCCTCACCCATCTTCCCATCTCTGTCTTTCCCTCTCTCTACCTCTTCCTCTTTCTTCCTTGACTTCATTACTAGCAATCTATCACTTGAGCTATATATCCAATTCAGTCTTTTCCCCCTCTTTAATTAGAGATAAAAATCCCACTGATTTGTCTGCCCTGGGCTAGCTTCCTCTGTTCTCAGCCTCTTGAGTAGCTAATATTACAGGCATAAACCATCAGTGGCCAGAAAATCTGAATACAACTGAGTATATAGTTTTGTATATAGAATTTACCTGTTTCTTTACTTATTCCCAGGATTTTATTTAGGATTCTTTGTGGGGGGTTGGGGGTGGGGCCCTGTATGTGCTAGTATTGGGGCTTAGGTGCTGCCGCTTAGCTTTTTCCCCTCAAGGCTAGAACTTTACCACTTGAGCTCAACTTCTGGCTTTTTGGGAGTTAATTGAAGATAAGTCTCACAGACTTTCTTGCATAGGCTGGCTTCAAACAGCAATCCTCAATCTCAGCTTCCTGAGTAGCTAGGATTATAGGTGAGCAAGCAGCACCCAATTTCAGTCATTTCTGATTATTAAATGTTTGGCCTGTAGTATATAAGTGAATTGAAGTCACATGTGTATATTGTTGAGATCCCTTTGTAGACATTTTAATGATGTTCAAATCAAATTATTATCTTATTTACCTTACTTGTAACTGTTGCCTTTTAGAAACACAGCAAACACAGCAAAATTTGCTAATTGTTGTGAAACATGGGCATGTTCCTGAAGCTTAGTCATAGTTAATACCAAGAGGAAGCAGAGCTTACTTAATGTTAGATAAAAATCAATTGTACCTGTAGCAAAAGTACTCAGTAAAATATTGTCAAATGTACATGGCCACTCAAGTTTGTAATCTCAGTATACATAATAACTCCAGAAATGTTTTTCCAGGTTTTATTTATTTATTTATTTGCCAGTCCTGGGGCTTGAACTCAGGACCTGGGCACTGTCCCTTCTTTTGCTCAAGGCTAGCACTCTTACCACTTGAGCCACAGTGCCACTTCTGGCTTTTTCTGTTTATGTGGTGCTGAGGAATCAAACCCAGTGCTTCATACATGCTAGGCAAGCACTCTACCACTAATCCACATTCTTTCCCTCCAGGTATTATTTAAATAGAACAAGAGTTCTGAAATTTGAAGCCAGTTTGAAATTGGCTCAGTATTCAGAAAATTCTGGATAGTAAGTGGTCTAAGCACTTTGCTGTTGTTTGTCATTTCCAGGATATTTGTTTTGAGTAAAGCTAGGGAGCTTGCCATACATGGTTGCTGAACAATAGTCATGTCTCAGAGGACAAAGACAGGGAGTCTTCGTTCTCATGCAATGCTGTCATTGCCCCCAGTGAGGGGGAGTCACCTGGTCTATATCATGATTTAGGATTAGCTTGTAGCTGTCTAACTTAGGACAACGATGCTATACCCCTTTTCTGAATTAGTAGCTCACCATACCACACATCTGAGCACATGGGTGTCCCCTGCACTCTGTTTTAATTCCTGATTATTTGGTGAGTGTGTGTGTGTGTGTGTGTGTGTGTGTGTATGTGTACTAGTACTGAGACTTGAAGTCAGGGCCTTGTACTCTTGTTTGGCTTTTTCACTTCAAATCTCGTGCTCTATCACTTCTAGCTTTTTGGTGGTGAGTCAGAAATAGGAGTCTCATGGACTTTTCTTGCTCAGGCAGGCTTTGAACCTCAGATCTCAGCCTTATGAATATCTAGGATCACAGACATGAACCACCAGTGCCTAGATTTAGAAAGAGGATTTCTTAATTAAAATGTATGAACAGCATTCAACTTACTTTGGTCATATATATCTTCCCTTCATACCCATTTACTGTTGTTAATATTTTTGGCATATATTTTCACGTAGTCTTATATTCTCTTACTCTTCTTTTTCTATCACACACACACACACACACACACACACAGTGTGTGTGTGTGTGTGTGTGTGTGCGCGCGCGATAGTACTGAGGCTTGAAATCGGGACCTTGTACCCTTACACAGCGTTTTGTCCACTCAAAGCTGGTGCTCTACCACTGGAGCCAGAGCTCCATTTCCACCTTTTTGATAGTTAATTGGAGATAAGAGTCTCATGGATTTCCTGCCTGGGCTGTCTTTGAACCACAGTCCTCAGATATTAACCTCCTGAGTAGCTAGGATTACAGGCATGAGCTACTGTGGCCCAACTTATTATTTCCTTTCTTATAAAAAACAGCTAACTAAATGAATTAATGGATGAATAAACAAACACAAATAAAGAAATGAATCTGGAGACATTTTGGTTTCACTTTAGGTATTAGTTTCCTAAGATTGCTGCAACAAATTACCACAAACTTGATGGCTTAAAATAGTTAAAACTGGGGCTGGGAAGGTGGCTCAGTGGTAGAGCGCTTGCTTTGCATGCATGAGGCCCTAGGTTCGATTCCTCAGCACCACATAAGCAGAAAAAGCCGGAAGTGGCACTATGGCTCAAGTGGTAGAGCGCTAGCCTTGAGCTGAAGAGCCAAGGGACAGCACCCAGGCCCAGAGTTCAGGCCCCCACAACCGGCAAAAAAAAAAAAATAGTTAAAACTTTTCTCTCACAATCCTGGAGGCAGGAAGTTTTAAATTAAGTGCCATTATCCATCAGGAAATTCTAGAGGGAAATTGGTTCCAGTTTCTGGTAGCTATAGGCATTTCCTGGCTTATGGGGCCCCACCATTCCAATGTCTGCCTGTCTTATCACATTAATTTTCCCTTTTATCTCTTTGACTCTCATAAACATACTAGTCAGTGAATTTCAGTCCCAGCACAGCTGATCCAGCTATGTGAAAATCCTGAATTATATCTACAAAGACCTCTTTTCCAAATAAGGTAATGTCCACGGATCTTCGGATTAGATTGTGGACAAATCATTTGAGGAAGCCACCATGGTAGGTTACATATATTTTTTCTAATATATAATAAAATAAATACATATAAATATGTAAAATAACTTTACATATACTCATATAAAATAACTTCACTATGTATTGCCCAAAAAGCCATCTTAGATGCTTTAAAAAAGAAAAAATAGTGTCATCTTATTTTTCATATTTTTTATTTGTATACTGTAACCACAGTACACAAGGGGGTGCAATGTCATATGGCGGTTTCATTGTCATTCCACGCATGTATTCATTGTATTCCTATCAATCTCATCCCCTCTATCACTCTCCTTTACCCCACTCTCCCTCCTTAAAACAATTTCAACAGGTTTCATTGTTCCATATTCATATATGCAAACAAACTGCTTCTATCATATTCATCCTAATTCATCATCTTCAGTCCTCTCCCGTTCCTGCTGGTACCTACCCTCCAACAGTCTATTTGTTTTCCAGTCACTCATTTTTATGTGTGTATTAATTGCACCAAGGGTTTTCACTGTGGGTTTTCAGATGTGCGTATATCATGTATTGCTCAGCATATGTGTTGTTTTCCTTTTCCCCACCTCTAATCCTCTGTTGATCGACAGCTTTCATTGAGATTTTAAAAAATTCTATATTCATAGTTACATTGTATTTTGAAATTATTCACCCTATATTTTTCTTTACCCTTCTTCCCCTCTCCTCATCCTCCTAAATAGTCCTAAGCTAAAATATGTATGCATGGGGCTGGGCACCAGTGGCTCATGCCTGTAATCCTAGATACTCAGGTGGCTGAGAGCTGAGGATTGCAGTTGGAAGACAGCCTGGGCAGGAAAGTCTGCAAGACTTATTTCCATTTAGCCACCAAAAAACCAGAAATGGAGCTGTGGCAGAGCATTAGCTGTGGTAGACCATTAGCCTTCAGCAAAAGATCTCAGGGACAGTGCTCAGGCATTAAGTTCAAGCCCTATAATTGACAAAAGAAATTATATGCATGTATTTATGCACATATAAACACAGTCATGTGTGCATATATATTTATACACATAAATATATGTGCATATATACATGCATGTGTAAACCTATGCACATATACATAATGTACATATATAAAAATATGCACACATGCATGTATATACACGTGCATGTATGCACACACACATATAATCAGCACCAGTAGCTCATACTTATGAGTCTAGTTACTTGCAATCTGAAATCTGAGCATTGAGATTTAAAACCAGCCAAGGCAGAAAAGTCAGAGATTCTATCTTCAATTAACTCACAAAATGCTGTACTGAAGACATGGCTCAAGTATTAGAGTGTCAGCTATGAGCAA